AAATGCATCCATCATCAATCTATATGTTTATCTTATGAGGCATTAACACCACTTTACTTTTATACAGCACTTTGCAGTTTACAGCTTGGAACATGTATACCCAACAAATAGCACATTGCCTTTTCATCAGACTAGGGATACCTAATTTAACAATAGTCGCCACATACAGTGAAGCAGTGGGAAGACTGACCTTCAAACCAGTAATCTTCATTGTCTAGGGAAGTGCCCAAGCCTGGCTTTCCTCTTTGCCTTTATGCAATTGGACCATTGAGTTCACCAGATTGCACCCCAAACTCCATTATTTTGCTTTAAACAAAGACTGAGAGTTAGTGTAGACTAGTTTGTAACTTTGCCACAACAGGATTTGTGTCAGAACCTCTAAAAGGAGCTCCTGAAAATTACCTGAAATTTAGAGTGAACTTTTAGCTAGAGAGACAGAGAGAGAGAGAGAGAGAGAGAGAAAGCTACAATAAAAACCCAAGAAGGAAAGAAAGAAAGAAAGGGAGGGAGGGAGGGAGGGAGGGAGGGAGGGAGGGAGGGAAGGAAGGAAGGAAGGAAGGAAGGAAGGAAGGAAGGAAGGAAGGAAGGAAGGAAGGAAGGAAGGAAGGAAGGAAGACGAAAACCCCAGAACCATCTTTTTTCAAATATTGCCTTGAAAAAAAAACTATAAAAAGTTTATGTTAAGATTCTGGGTCTTTGGATTACTCATGATGAGTGCTTTTCCTGGGCAGCATCTCCCATTTTCAGCCTTCCTCTGGTCACATTGAATGTTCAATTTCCTTTTCTCACTCTTGACAGTTACCAATGTTGGTATGTCTTCATTATTATTTATTACTTTAAATTTAAAGCAGAGTAGTTTTTTCTCACTTTTTGAAAATTAAATAAGTTTTATTGTGTCTGTATCAAAAGTCACTATATAGGTCTGTTCCCAATCTTGTTTTTTAAACAAATGAATATTGCTATATTTTAAAAATATGAATGTCTTTTTATTTTATTTTACTTTTTTGAGACAGAGTCTTGCTCTGTCACTCAGGCTGGAGTACAGTGGCACAATCTTGGCTCACTGCAACCTCCATCTCCTGGGTTCAAGCGATTCTCCTGCCTCAACCTCCTGAGCTGGGATTACAGGTGTATGCCACCACGCCTGGCTAATTTTTTATATTTTTAGTAGAGACAGGGTTTCACATGTTGGCCAAGCTGGTTTCGAACTCCTGACCTCAAGTGATCTGCCCGCCTCAGCTTCCCAAAGTGCTGGGACTACAGGCATGAGCCACTGTGCCTGGCCAAAAATATGAATATATTTGGCTATTTGCACCCTTTCTCTTAATCCCAAGGATCTTCAACTTTTATTCTTCTCTTTAAAATATTGAGTCCTGGAAATATAAGTGAACATGATAGTTCTAAAAGATTAGTATTTTAAAAATTATAGTTTGCTATTCTCAGGTTTGTTCAAAATTGACTTTCTGACATACTATATTGTTTTCACAAATGTAAGCTTTACCTAGGTAGTAAGACATATTCACAGATAGTTATTATCAAAAATATAGAGAAAAAATTCACATATATATGTCCCATTCCCTTCCCACTCCTTCCTGAGTTGTTGACATGAGAAAATATTTCCAACAGTGGGGTATCATTTGCTTGGTGAATTTTAACGTTTGCATGACATGAGATGGTGTTCATGTTTGCGAAAAATACTGAAGACTTCTGACCTCTTTCTTTTTAGCTGCACATGGCTCAATCTAATAAATTTTCAATATAGATTCCAATATGGTTATAATCCCAATCATACCATATTTAAAAGCTCTATTGCTGACTGTGTTTCTCTGCTAGCATGACGCCACAAAGAAAATGAAACCAACCCAAACAAAACCCTCCTTATAACAGAAAGTAAAATGAAGCTTGTAACAACTGTTTTGAAAAATGATTTGGACAGTGAGGAACAACCAATTTTTCAAACACTGTTGTAGCCATTTCAAGCTGTAGTGTGGAAAGTGTATGCAAGAAATCAATAAAGGGAAAAGATCTCTATCTGACACAGATGAAACCTAAAAATACCGTTAAGACCAATTCTCTCTCCATGCATCTGTTACCGCATTCCACTAAAAGGTGTTGGAAAGAAAATCAGCCAAATTCTACTAGAACGAAGTGTCCAGACAAGTGAGTCTGTAAATAATTTAAAAAAAAAAAAAAAAAAAAACTACAGTAGAAAAAGGGGAATGGGGGAAAAAAGATTAAGCACTTAACATGTTGAGTATATACCCAAAGCAGAAAACTCAGTGAGGGAAAAACTTGTCCTTCAAAAGGAGATACTTTCTATCCTCCACCAGCAACACAGAATTGATAGTCTGATAATAGAAACCTTTTAGGTAGGGGTAATGGGAAGAACACTGTCTTCCCAAAGGCTTCAGTAGATATTCAATTGCCCAGGGCAATCTGATCAGCACGTCCTCGTTTCTAGAATTGAGTAAACCAAATCAGGATGAACCGCACATGGTTTAATAGTTAACTTTTAGAACAAGGGGCAGGGAGATGCTTTTATGCCATAGGCCCAGTGTTCATTCCAGTCTCATTACTAAAGTCTGTTCTGAGAGCATTTACAGCTTTCCGGAGAGTCTGAGTTTGGCTGAATCCTGAAGGTGGAAATGTAGCTTAATGACCTCCTTATCCTGGAGTCTCCCTTAATACAGGTGAATTTTTGTGATAAATCATTCTCTAGAATCCAAAGTGTTGTATTAATATCATCATTATTACTATGATTATTATTAGCCCTTTCTTATGTTGTTAGTTATCTCTCCATTTTCCTATTCTAGGAATAGGTGAAAGTTTTGTGAATATGCAGTTGCTTTCTTTGAGTTTCTTTGAAACAGTTTATGTCTTCTTTCAAGTTGGAAATGTGAGATATTTTGAATTATAGTTGGATGTGCAAGTCCAGTCCTGTTTTTAGAGATCAGGAACAGAAAAGGTTCTACAAACAATCCTTATTTGACTAAGAGACAGAACAAAGGAAGGGAGAGAATTGTATCTTTGGGTGATTCAATCTTAGGTGCTCAATATTGATTGACTAGTGGTCTTTTTATCCTGGCCTCTGTTTTCTCAGATTCCTAAAAAGACTCTTCCCTTATGTGTAAGAGAAAATCCCTCTTAGCATCTTCTCAGTCTCTTCCAAAGGAGAGTAACCATGGACGAGGATTTAGCATACCTAACGAATGGGCAGTGGGCTATGAATAAGTATTAAGGGAAAATAACAACAAGAAAATTGAGGGCAGATTCACGGTAAGCATTGTTTGTGGAACTGTTGGAAGGATCTGGTGTGTAGTTGATGTTGTTGTTCTAAACTGAGCAGCAACAGTAACAACAAACAACAGAATCATACTTCCCACTCTCTTCTTCCTTTCCATTCAAAAACAACCATCACTACCACAATAGCCCAGTAGACAAAATAAAAGCATGTCTATATTTTTGGTATATTACTGTATATCTTAATTGTAGTTTCTCTGCCACACATTAACAGAGTTATGTATCCCTCATGTTTTTCAAAGATCACCTTTGCGCATGTCTGCATAGCTGTTCTAATAGTGTTACTATTGTCTCTTCTTCATTATCTCCTTTATTTGAGTTCTTTTTTTCATGTATGCAAAGAGACTCTTTTTCTAGGCTCTTTGCACACATTCACCATTGCACTAGGACAGATGGGTGTTTTTCTATATAAAGCCTTTTAAAGTGAGAAAACAACAAGAATAGATTTTGAACAATATTTTACCAGTATTATTGAAAAATGAGCTACTGTATATTCTATATACACACACAGCAGCTGCACAAAATGCAAATTCTATTCATGTCTGATCTCTTCTGCATTTATATGGTGACTATTGCTGTAGCACCTAAGCACTTTATGTTATTTCCTCTTATTATTATTTACCACCTGATCATTCCAGAGTGCTTTTTACAATCAGAGAATTTCATTAACAGCCCATTCCCTCGCTCTTTGTTTTTCAGCAACCTTGCATGTAAAAGTATCAAGCGTCTTGGTAGCTATATCAGATAAATTACAGTAAAAAGATAGAGTGCTTCTGACAGGAGGGTGGGGAAAAAAACACCCTAAAGCATCTCCTAAAATTTGGTTTGTGTTTTACGGTATCCAAATAATGTTATACAAGTCTGTAATTTAAGTGAAAACCAAACCACTAGATAAGCGCTTTTATTTATCATGGTTTCCACCATTGCAGTAATCGAAAGTGTGAGGTGAGGAAGAGGAATTCTGTCTGCACTTCATAGATAGAGAGGACTGGGCAATTGCACTTTCTTCTCACTGTGGAAAGCTTGTGATTCTTATTGACTCTTGAGCTGCCTTTAGCCCAGAGGTATAGAAGTCAATCTGTTTTAAAATCCAAAAAGCTACTGTTATATTTTTTAAGCTAAGAGGATAGAAACATGTTTATTAAAAGCTTCTTTGTGATTATAGATGAAAGTGCGTGGTTGGTACCTTAACAGTTTGATTGAATAAAAATCAAGTTCACACTGGGGTTTCCTTCTCAGCTCTACTCCTTGCTTTCTCTTTGACTCCAAGCTAATTGCATAACCTCTGGTTGACTTGTGCCTCGTCTACACATTCAAAGTGAAATTCAGAAATGAGGTTATTATCTAACTACTGTAGGCTGTAACATTATTTCTCTAAAATATCTCTGTGAGAGAATTTGAAATTTCTGATTTAAGTAGACAGTAATAAAAACTGACAATTGTGTGGACCATCTCCTTTTATCCTTAGACAAAAACCCCATGGAGGTGGATACATCAGAGTCAGCTGGAGGTGGTCAGAATCATTTGCAATGTTTGTTAAGACACAGATTACTGCCCCTTCACCAAGTTTCTGATTCAGAATCTAGAGTAGGAACTGATAATTTCACTTCTGATATGTTTCTAGATGATGCTGATGGGGACCAAATTTTTTGGATCACTGCCCTAAGGATGGCTTAAGTACGTAGAGAAAAAGAAATCAAGGCTCAAGTCATGGCAGTAAATTTGTGTCTATACTCTGCCACTTTACTTTTGGCCTCAAGTCATTGCGGTAAAGTGGCAGAGTGTAGACACAAATTTAGGCCTTCTGACTCCAAATTTTACTGTCTTCCTACTACAGACATTTTCTTTTCACTTCTACTAGAGACATTTTCACTTTACTTTAATGTTTTGAATGACTGTCAGTCGTCTTGAGATCCTAAGTGAAAAAGCATTGTAAAGAGTGGTAATTGGATGTTTTCTCCTTACATCCAGTAGCTACCCTATTGCATTTGTGAAAGGAGAGGAGGAAGCCACTCCAAATTTTAGTGATTAGCTTTGGTATGAACAGCTTTTAAGGCCAGCTTTATACTTCCCTTTTGGGGATGAGAGTAATAAATGTAAGTCTTCTTTGTATTCATTCATCATAACCTGTACATGCGTATGAACAGGTTTCTGTTTGACGGACTTATGACCATATTCTGCTGTGACAATGCTTTGTAAAAAAGTTTTCACATGTATATTACTTCTCCAATAGTCATAATTTAAAAAAAAAAAAGTGTCAAGGTGAACATGATGGGGCAAGGGAAAAACCACTGCAGAGAGACTGAGGACACTTGAGTCTTGTGCTGCTTCACATATTTGCACAGATCTGCTGGCCTCCATGGGAGACACAAAACAATTCTTCTTTACCCAAGCTATATGTTACAGTCACCCAGAAAAGCTTTGAAGCAAACACCCACATCAGGGCCCAGGTACAAGAAACTTTGATGTAACTGTTTTGGGGTAGGGTCTGAGTCTCAGTAGGATTTAAAAGCTTGTCAGGTGATTCAAATGTGCAATCGGGGTTAAAAAACCACTGGCCTAGTGTTTAAGGGCCTGGGTTTTGAAATCAGACAGATCTGAGTTCATATCTTGGCTCTTTCGCTTAGTTACTATGCAACCTTGGACAACTTATTTAATCTCTGTCAGCTTTAGTTTTCTCATATGTAAAATGAAAATAATAGCACTTGTCTTGTAGGAGATCTGTGAAAATTAAATTAAATGATACATTTAAATGTTTAACATAGTACTTGACTTGTGGTATGGATCTACTACACATTAGCTGCTCTTGCTATTATAATGCACCTCAGTTTCCTTATCTGTAAAGCAAAGGAGGGGCACTTTAATTTATGAAATGGAGGACAAATATCTTGGGATTTCATATAGATACATGTCTGTCACCGTATCCACAGTATCCTACCCAGCTTCATTTTTGCCTTTCTTACTTGCTACACATATTTTTGTTAGGTACAGTCTTTGACAGGCTCAACCTTTATTATATTTTACCAATAAATACTTATCTGCCCTCCCCCTTCCCACCAAGATGAAAAACTTGAAACATATAACAAATCCCCTTCTTATATGGGGTAATGCAGGTATGATGGGTGGTTGACCTATAGGTTTAAGAAATAAAAAGCAGAGCTTTGTGAACATGTCTGAAAGCTAACATGCCCCTATTCTTGATTGCTATTTTTTCTGCCATCACTCACTCTAAGAGTTCAGTTGCTGGTAGCTTTCATCCTTGAAAAGGAAAATTGTTCATACTCTACTTCTTAAAGATTGTTGCAATTTGTTAATTCCCTTCATTTTCCCATTTTCCCTGATTTCCTTCTGTATGTCTTTTTTTTTTTTTTTTGGTGAGACAGAGTCTTGCTCTGTTACCCAGGCTGGAGTGCAGTGGCGCAATCTCGGCTCACTGCAGCCTCCACTTCCCAGATTCAAGCAACTCTCTGCCTCAGCCTCTGGAGTAGCTGGGATTACAGGTGCCCACCACCACATCTGGCTAATTTTTTTTTTTTTTTTTTTTGTATTTTCAGTAGAGATGGGGTTTTAGCATCTTGGCCAGGCTGGTCTTGAACTCCTGACCTCATGATCCAGCTGCCTCAGCCTCCCGAAATGCTGGGATTACAGGCGTGAGCCACCACACCCAATCTCTTCTGTATGTCTTAAGCCTTAGTACACAATGAGTAGGTAACACATTTTTAAAGCAATAATGATTTCATAAGCCCATCTGCTTATCTCCACCAGTGTTTAATAGGTTATGTTTTTCATGTCTTTTTATATCTCTGATTTTAAAAATTAGACTTTTTAAAAGTCTCCTTGTATCTCTCTTAACATAGAAATTATGTTTTTGGGTGGACAGAAAGAAATTATTTGACTGTCCAATAAAAGTACAGATGGTTCCATTTTTCTTGACTCATCTCGCAGCACACATTAGTCAGGTCACATGCCTATTTGGGAATTTTTGTAGTACTAGGTCACTTGCCCAGCTTTGGGGCACATAAAAGAATATTTTCCTGGCTTTTAAGTTTGTGGATCTTACACTGTGCCTGGCATGGAGATAGGAAGGACATTTTTTTCCATTAAGCTTTTTCACTGTGTTTTGACAGGAAAAGTTGAAACAGAGTCCCTACTGAGATTTTAACATGTTCCATGGTGGTAACCATAGGAAATAGGGAAACAGGAAATTTTTGGACAGAAGGAAGCCAAGGAGTCCATCTCAGCCTGTCCTCACCTCAAAGATACCAGTTGGATTCTATAATATTATTTTTATCTGCATGTTTATCTAAAGTTTTGTATTTCTATAGTTTTCTTCCTGATAGTAGGGAAACATTGCTGCCAATTATCATGAAAAAGATTACACTCTAAACAGTACTCAGTTCCTTCTTCTGGACAAATCAATGAATGTATTCATTCAGATGTTAATAAAGCAGAATTGTGGGAGACTTCATTTGGAAAAATGCATTTTGTGTTTAAAGAGATTCTCAAAAGATATCATGATAAAATCCATGTAAACTCCAGTGATAGAGAAAAGTACTTGTTTCACACAAAAATATATAAACACAGAATAATGACATTTTTGTTCATTAAATTCAACATGCTTAAAGTTGCCCATATGCACACACATACATGTGTATCTTCCATTTACTCTACTTTTCCTCTACCACCCACTGTCCCAACCTTTGGGAACCAAAATACTGAAATATAAATCAACTCTCATTTCTGAAAGGTCTATAATGCCATTTAAGTGAAAGTCCTTCACCAACATATATTGGTATTTTTCCGTAAAAACTTAATTATGGATATTTTGATGCATGTGTGTGTTTGTGTACATTTTTCCTACCCACAGGAAACATTTTTCAAACAATCTGGTCAGATGGAGCTCTGCTGAAAATTTACCATTCATTAGCATCATACCTATGCTAATAGTTTCTATTGTCTTTCATTATATAACAGTTATTATGAATGAGATCCTTGACATATCATTTTCCATTATTTTATTTAAATTGTGAAATACAGTTGACCAAATAGTAGTCATGGCTACTAGCAACTTTTTGATATACATTTGGCATGGCAACAGTTATATTTTATTTCTCTTGTCTATATTAATACCAAACCTTAAAATGGATTATGAAAATAAAAAATAAGTTGTTAAAAAAACCCTACTCTTTCCAGATCAGAAACAGTACCTCACAGGACTGGAATTAACATATATTATCATCGCCATTTTAAACATAATCACCCCAGATTACATAATCTTTTACTAACGTGTTTGTAAAATTAGTCTTTTCCATAGTCCAGCTTTGAAAGATAAACACCATGTGTACATAAGCATACGTAAAATATCTCATAGATACAGAGCCCATAAAATGGGCATATTCTTATAAATGTAGGGAAAGGTTCGCTCAAGGAGCAAGCTGATAAGCAGAGTGGTGGAATGTCAAAATGCCTAGGCTCTGTAGTTCAGCCTCTACCACTGAATGAGTTTACCCTAGTTAAAGGATTTAACTTCACTGTGTATCAGTTCCTACATCTGACTCAATGTTGACTTAAACCCCCCCACACACATTTTAATAACAAAATAATTAAGATCTAAAATTGTTTTGAAGTGTTCGATATTATATACAGATACAGCCGTCATAATGCTTAAGCTTAAAATAGGAATTGGGACCAAATTGTTAGAAAAAGTTCTCTTGTTCCAGATGTTGGAGACTGACTAGGCGATGTCACAGCCTCAAAGATTTGCACAGGTTGATCACAAAGGCAGAGCCTGAGGGGAGGAGCTGGCTTAAGCAGGGCCCAGTGATGGTGGACTATGTTTTTTAAACTAATGGAAGAAATGGGAGACACTGAAATCTGTGAGGAAGCATGTAACATGATCACATTTGTTATGTCTCTTGAATTATCTAAGGTTTGACACAAAGGGTGGATTGAAAGGGCCTGACAGTTGGAAGCTCTGGTGAGATAGAAAGGTTTTGCCATTAAGACTGTAGTTCTCAAATTGAATTGCACCTCGGGAACTGGCTCCAAATGCAGATTCTAGGGCCATATCCCTACAGGTTCTGATTCCACGGTAGTTCTTGGGTGAGCCTGTGATTCTTCATTATAGCAGCACCTCTTAAAACCACCCAGGTATGGCCCATTCTCTGCTCAGCATTAGTTCTTTCCACTTCAATAAGTTGGCACTATGGCCAGGCATGATGGCCCACACCTGTAATTCCAGCATTTTGGGAAGCCAAGGCAGGAGGATCACCTGAGCCCAGGATCGCTGATGCCCTTGAGATCAAACTGTGAATTTTTGGTCATAACTAGTCAGTGCTCTAGTATCCAGTTTATGTGGTTTCTGGTTATGAACAGTACTGAAAAGATTATTTAATGTTCTATAAAGTCCTACAGACAGAACATTTGATTTTTTCAATGGAAATTCTGTTTCTTTGAAACGTTCTCTGTTTGTTCCTATTACATTTGCCTATTTTAGTTTTTAGGAAAGAATACAAATACATCTGTTTGGTCAGAATTTTTACTTGATTGACACTATGGGATTTATCAGAATGGGGAGTCTTTTACAAATTTTGATATTCTTTTGTCCTGTTTTTTATGCATTTGAACAGTCTGTTTAATGCACTTACCACATGTTATATGAGAAGTGTGACATTTGATCTAACCTCTCTAAAACCCTTGAATCTATAAGGGTAAGCAAGAAGCATCCCCATTACTAAGAAATTTTTGTCATATGAAAGAAAATCTATCTTATTTCACATATTCAATTCCCTTGTCATTTTACTTTATAAATA